GCCATGGCAGAACTGACTTTGCATCTAAATTAGCTAATTTAAAAGTGTCCTGGGCACCTCTGCACCATCCTTTCCTCCCATCTGTGACTGCATAGAAAATTTAAAGGAAAAGGCAAAACACAGTCTTTCCAAAATCTATAGCCTAGTTTATCATCCATAAATATAACACTTCTCCAGGCATCTCTTGGTTGATGTTCTTCCCTACCAAATACCCACTGAAATCCTAGAAGTGCTGTATACTGGAGCTTACAGATATGAAAATTGCACAGAACAGAGCAAAGAGAAAATTGGCAGGGTTATTCCAGAAGCCTTTAAACTGGTTGTTTTTTGTCTGGTGGTTTTTTTTTTTTTTTTTTTTGTTTTGTTTTGTTTTGTTATCATTTTTCCATTACTATAAATCAGTATTTCTTTATCAGCTAAGCACCCTGTGATGTTGAGCTGTACAGATCTCAAGAGTGAGGCATAACATCCTGTGCCTTCTAATTAGCTTTGCTGGTCTGACTGACTGGCTGGGCACCAGAGTCAGTACAGCTGTGAGCTGACAACATTGTGAGGAGGCAGGAGCAGGTATAGAAGCTGAGCAACAGTAACATCTGCACACATGGGAGAGGGAGGCAAGAAAAGGAAGATCCTAGGACAGAGGGAAGAATATACGGAAGAAAAGATCAGAAGAAATAGAGAAGGACTGACCAGCAAAACCAAATGATAAGGTAGAAAGAAGGAGGAAGTAGTTCTGTTGTCTGTTCAAAAGAGCAAAAAACCACTGGCTGAAGTTAATGAAAACTGTAAGTTTCTATTAACAAAGAATGTATTAACATTTCTGAACATGAAATACTTCTTAAGGATTTGGGGGATGGTTATTTGGGTTTTTTAAGCTATTCCATGGAATCCTACTGAGATTTTTTTTCCAGGTGATATGGTCAGTTTACCAATCTTTGCTGACAGCACAGAAGCAGAAAGGTACCTTTGAAGCAGGATGTGGGAATAAAGAGGAATAAAACACAAGGAGGAGGCCACAGGTAGTCTCAATTTGCATAAAATTAAGATAGAAAAAAAATACATTTTCAAGGGTAAAGTTATGGATTATGATGACGTTTTCCTCTCAGCTCATCCACTGTATTCACTATAAACATACAGCGATGTTGTTAAACAATGTTGGGATTGATATGGGATTTAATTATTCATATGTATAGCATTGGGAGGGGAAATTAATATATTCCCTCTTCTTTCTTCTTCTGAAATTAGATTCTTTGATATATTAGTTTCCTATTTCCCTAGCACCAAATTCCATTTTTTTTTTCTTTCTAAATAGTTTTAGACGTACCTCTAGTGAGTGACACTGACAGTGGTCAAAAGCATTCTGCCAGCCAGCCCCTGCCTTAACCTAAGAAGTTGGAGGGTCTTAACTTTTTGTTCAAATTTTTCTTTCCCCATGAATGCATTCAGCACAAAGCTGCTACCTCAGTGCTACCCACAGGAAGAGCTTCCCACCACAGCTGCCACTGATGCTCCCTGGCTTCTGGTTTCTACCTTCCTGCAGTTCCCTTTACATCCTCTGTAAGACTTAAAATTTTTAAAGCAGTGCTTAAGCTTCCTCAACAACGTTCACCTTTTTAGGTTTGTGGCCTAACAGACACAAAGAAACAACCTCCACTAAGCTCTCTCAGAGGATGGAAACAGATCACTCATCCCCTTTCCTTGCCTCCCAGGGCAGCTGAACACAGGTCTTGGTGTCACATAGGTGGGATATTACAGATCAGGAACAAGTCACAGGCATGATGCAGCATGGAGATGCCAAGAATGGTCAGGGCTTTTTTGGACACATTCACGTCAACCAAGAGATATGCAGTAAACTCCTCTCTTATTGTTTCACAGTATCCTGCCTAGGCCAAAGGTCTTTCAAGGTTTGTCTAAATTACAGTGATTGTTTTTTGTTTGCCCATGACAAACCCGTCACAGTTGGAGTTAGGACAGATTAATGATGAGGCATGACTTTTCCCTGCAGAAACTTTGCTCTTCAGATCCTATATTCTTTCTCTTTTTTTGGTTTGGTATTTTTCTCTACTTTACATTCTGTTTTCAAGCAGCTTATAGAACAGAAACGTATATCTGAGTATCTAGTGTGCTTCCTCAAATTATCTCAATCCCATTTTTAACTTTGGGTACAATTGTTACCTTCCAATTCTCCAGTGAAATAGTTGGTTTTAATTAAGAAAGGCATATTTTTGCTGCAGATCAGCTATTTCATACTAAGCTCCTTCAAAACTTTTCAATGTACCATCTGGAGCTGATGATTTGCTGCTTTTTAAATTATCGATTTGTTCCAGCTCTTCCTTCTGACACATCTTGATTACCAGAAAAGAGCAAGTCCCAGTAGGTATCACTCTGATATTCTCTGTGCCGAAGAGCTCTGCAAACAAATAATTCAGATTCTCAGCAATGTCTTTATCTTCTTTAATTTCTGCCTTTAATCTTGGGTGAACCAGCTTCTGAACTGCCAATTAATTATTCCTACTCTTCTGACTGATAAACCTGAAGCATTCTTATTTTATACCTTTAGTTTTTTGCAGTCCATCACACTTCCTTTTTATTTCCCTTTCATCTAGTCTTTACACTAGTTAATAAACCAATGTATTGGAAAGCTGAGGTTAGATTTTCAAATTCAGAAGGGGTCCCTGCCATTAAGTTGCACCTATTTCCTCTTTGCTTGCCTAGTATTACTATTGTCAGCAACATACACGCTCTCCAGACTATTATTGTTCTTTAGTGGAATTCACGGCATCTACCTCTACTATTCCCTCGTGAGTTTTCTCGACAAACCCTCTCAACAGGACCAAAACCCAGGTGCTCTGAAGTTAAAATTTCAGTCACTTTTTTGTACTTTATTTCCCACTAAGCTACTGTTGGATCATATAACATTACTATGTCTGTTAGCAGCTTCAGGTGCAGTCTTGTCTTGAATTCATCCCTGCATATTGCTCAAGATTAGAACCAAAATCAGGATATCAGAATGCAGGCATGTAAAAATGGGGCATTTTGATCTGAAATTTCGTACCTACTTATGGCTCTGGCCCAAGCTGGAAAAAAAGGTACCTGGCCCCTGTTTTAAGACTTTCCAAAAGCAGGAGACAGCAGCTGGATGTGTAATCCATACTAGCGGCAACCTGATGGTGCAGGATGCTTGTCTGCAATAGTGCAGTGATTAGAGTGCTTGCTTCCAGACATGGAAAGGCTGCATGGGAGGGAAGTCAAGTCAGCATTGCCCATCTCAAATGAAGCACTCAACCACCAGGGAGAGAAGAGGGAACACTCTCCCATTTGTTGGGATGGGGGTTCCTGGCTCAGAAAGAATTGCAAAGTTTCTGGGTTGAAAGGAGGCCTGACACTACAGCTGGGTGGTTTGGGGTCTCAGAGGAGAGAGGTCTCCTAGGTTTGAGTCAGTGTGCTGATCCTTAGCACTTTATTTTATCCAACAGTTTAGTGCAGAATGGTTCCTAAAACAAAGTAAGTAACTTACTGTCTGCTGCCTGCTGAGACTCTAATACTTAGGAAGAGCTTATCTTTCTGAGACAGAACTGTGCAGGACCACGTTGACCAAGTTAAAGCTGTGGCCTGAGCTCTAAGCCATCTCCGGCTCACAGCATTCATTCCTCAGGCCCAAGCAGCATCCAGGTCCTGCCTGAAAACTTGACAGTTCTTCAGCAGAGTAAGCTGAACTGCACCTAAAGTTCATGTGAAAAATAAAAGTACTTGAATAGGTTTGCTTCAGGCTACTTTATTTCTGTTATGTTCCTTCCTAAATTGTTGTTCTTCAGTATTTTCTTCTGATTTCCTCCTGCTGACACATCTAGATACTGCTGGACAGCAGAGTTCCTCAATCCCTTCCCTACCCAGCTCATGCACTTAGGCACTGCCAAACCATTACTCATGTAGCAAAAGCCCCCACAAAGTGTCAGCTGAGCTTTAACATTTCTTTTTAAAAATAAAATAATAAAAAAAAAAAATCCTACCTCTGGGCACTGAATTGCTGTCAATGATTTAGAAAGAGAGGAGTTGAAATGCAGCATAACAGGCATAATCCTCAAATCCTTATACCACTGGCCTGCCCAATGGGTCCACTCCAAGAGTGGTTTGTCCATCCTCCTTTTGATGGCTCTTTCATCACAGATCACTTTGCTGCCACCATTCACTTCAACCACAGAGAGATGGGGGCAACAAACTCAAAAAGGCTTCATAGCAGGACAGTGGCTGCACTTAGTAAGGCCTTGTAACCCACCCAGATATGTGGAGGAGACTTCGCCTTTGGCATCTCTGCCTGCATGTAGAAAGATCTAATTTTGGTTATACCCATTCAGATAGAAAAGAGTTCGGGTAGAAGAGTTAGGAAATTAGAGCTGCTGATTTATGTCACATCCAAAACCCTGACCATTGCCTCGTTACACATGCGGAAATACTCAGAGACACAAGCCCTCTTGGAACTGGGGAAAGGCCTTTTGCTGATCCCTTTCATTAAACATCCTGCAAATACCCAGTCTGGTGACTTTTTGCTGCTACAGTTGTTCCCGGGGCATCCTCTGACCTGTTCCGGATCCTGCTTGATTTTTTCTGATCAGATTTGAAACCACTGAACCCAAGGAGAGGAGGCCAGTAAAGCAGTAAATCAACAGAAGACGTCACCACAACCCTCTGACCTCTTGCTCTGCTGAGACCCAAACTCCCCCTTGCCGCCTCAGATTCTCCCACCCTGAGCCGCCCACAGACCTGTGCACCCACAGGGGCCCACGGGTGCGGGACGGACGCTGGTGCCTCGTGCCCCAAGACATGAGGGTGAGGGTGCCCAGGTGCCGAGTGTCCCACCGTGCGTCCCGTGGGGTAATCCCGGCTCCCTCGCCCGGAGCATCCCGCACCTGCTGCACGCCGGGGGGCGAAACCGCGGCCCGCCCCACGCTCGGCCCCGGCTCGTCCTCGCCGTGCGGCGGCAGAGCCGCCCCTGCGCTTACCTTTCCCAGGCACGTGCACGGGGGGACAGGCCTTCCCGGAGGATGGCGCAGGGAAGCCGGCAGGCGGTGGATCCCCGAGGAGCCCCCGGGAGCGGGAGTGCCGCTCCCCACGCCGGGCAGCGAGGCACGGGCACGGGGAGAGCGCCTGGCTGTGGCGCGGCTGTGGCACGGCGCTGCTCAGGCGGTGGCTCCGCTGAGGGCAGAGAGCTGTGAAGCTGCTCCCCGCCTCGGCGTTACCATCTCGCCAGCCACGCAGTCCCAGGGAAAAACATCGCCTTCAAACACTGCCGTCATCTCCAGCGAGGGCGCGGGGCTGGCTGGCTGGGAATGGCATCACACACCAGGCCGAGATTGCGCTCCGGGTTCAACACAGACACCTTCTTCTCCCAAAAGAAAACGAGGACCCCAAGGAGTAACATGCAACACAGATGCAAAACAGGGAGGATCGCATTGAAAGATGCTTCTGGGTCAGGGCTGTGCCGCTTCTCCGGTCCAACAGCACCATCTCCTGGGTAGCCTCGGCTGCTCGCCCGGCAGCTCATCCCAGAGCGTCTCCCCAGGAAGACCCTCCGCAGCTTTCTTCTGCCGTCACCGAAATGTTTTGTTTCGCTGCTTTCCGTACGGGCATTATTTTTTGCAGCTGTTTCCTTTCACATACTACTGCTTGTCTCTCATGGAGAGACTCATCATCACAGACTGACGAGTAAATACATGAAATACTGAAGAATTCTAGCTTATCTGTATTTTATTCAGCAGTACAAGACATTCCTGAGTACCAGCCCTAAAACCAATCTCTTCTTAGCAGAGAAGGTTTGAATATGCACCCAGTTCTTAATGGAGTACATCTTCTTTGAAGTAATCAAAAGCGCTGCTTCTTAGAGAATACCTATATTTTCTTTTAAAAAAACCAAAACAAAACAAAAACACAAACAAACAAACCCCACAGCAACAACAAAAAACATCCATCACACTAAATCTACTCGAAGAGCTGCTTAGAGTTTAGACAAGCGAAATAATGGAAAAGAATAGAAATGGTAGGTGTCATAGTATTGCTTCAACTTGTCTGACAAGTAGTATTTCAGAGATACTCCTTGTAGTGTGTATTTGAAGGCTCTAAAATGCTTGTTGAGATGCCCCTGTAAAAGTATGTGGTTTTCACTCACTAAATTACAGGTTTAAGGCTAAACACTCTGAAACTTTATTCCCTCTATAGCTATTACTGTAAAAGTAGCAAATCACTTCTCAATTTCAGTTTATATTAGTATACAAAGATTTGAGTGTCCTACTTCACTGGTTTGAGGCTAAATTGCATATAAAATCCTTCAGGTTTTGAAGACTGTGCTTATATAACAAGCAAAAAAAAAAAAAAAAAAAAAAGTGTAATTCAATGAGTTTTTTCCAATTTAACACTCCTCCAAAGCCCCTTTGGACTTAATTCACTGTTAAATGCCAAGCTAAATGCCATCTTTAAGAGGTGGTAAGTTAGCCCCCTGTGGAAGCTTTAATTTAGAAGGGACAACACCTAACTACAAAAACAGACACGCATGCCTGCACCTTAGTGTCTGTGCAGGAGCAGTCTACTGGCTTTTTATGCAGAACTGCTGCAAAAATGAAAATTTAAAAAAATAATTTTCCCCATTGTTTGCTAAGTTCTTTCATTGGCAAGGCTGTTTCAAAATTATTATTGAACTTGGCCCTTGTGATAGAGCAGAATTTGATCTAAGCAAGCAAGGAGATAAAATCAGAACAGAACTCTGTAATAGAACAAAGGAGTTCAGAACAAGTTAATTCTAACTATAGTATACACAGATATAAAGTGAGGGCTGTACTTGGATATACTGACAGAAAGCAAGATGTTCCGATAGAAAACTTAAACCAGAACAGATTGGCTCAAGAGATTAGAAAATTACATGTACCTGTCACAACTGCGCACTGTACAGGTGAAATAAAAAGGGAAGGATTTTTCTCAGATGGCACATGGTAGTTGAAGTGATCCCCCAATAAAGAATTCAATAAAGAATGCTTGCCTGCCTTCTGAATAACCACATGGGTGTCAGAGGGCCCTCTTTGATTTCGGAGATTTCTGTAACACTTAGATTCTTCTTAGGTCCTTATAAATCATCACTACCTGCACATATTTAATGTAAAAAAAGGTACTTTGGAGTTGTCTTTCTATATGCTACAGAAAAGTTCCTAGTGACTCCCTCCATCTTTTAGGAAGCTTAGTTTGTTTATTTAGTCTGATTCTAAAGGTCTTAAAAGATTAATATCACTAGAAGTAAAAGTCACCCTTAAAAGGCTTTGTTTCTTCCTGAGAAGAGACTGTAAGCCAGCAGCTTGCTGTCTGGCAAGTGTTTCTGCTGTCTGATTAATAAGTGATCCTCAAAACTGGGAAGATATGAATGTTTGTTGATTGGATACAATGCACTGTGCATTACTTTCAGCTACACCCTGTGACTACCACGGATTTTATGTAATACCATTGCCTTTCTAACTAAAAACCCTTTGCTCCTCAACTATTCCCTTACTTCCAGAGAAACAAGGCATGTGCAAAAAACTGAATGATGGATTTAAAAAAAAAATGTTGAAAATAATACCTGAATCCATTTAGCTACATCACTCCTATTTTCTGTGTAATTAAACCCTGTTTTCCCAGGGAGATTCCAGGAAAGGGATCAAGTACTTGAATCAGTGAGGAGTTTCCATAGCCATGATCAGGCCACGATCAGGCCACGTCAGAGACAGCAGCACTTCAAGACAGAGCTATTAAATGAAACAAGCAGTATCCCAGTGAAAAAATCCAAAACAAATAATGAACAACAGCCCCTTACAGAACAGTGTGTTCATCTCAACCCTTTCAGCCAAAAAGCAAACTTGACTCCACCACCAAGAACCATTAACAATCCAAACCCTTTCAAACTCTTTTTACCTTTCCTTAGTGTCTTCCCACCTTTGCTCACAGACTCTTAAACAGGTAACATGTATCTTGTAACTAATGAGTGGGTTTTTCTTGCACAACCCTGTAAAATATGGGTGTTGAAAACTCCTGTGTTAGAAGATCTAGTTTCTGCAGAAGGGACATGCAAATCAGGTTAGTCGGGAATTTATTGTTCAGGCTGCCAGCTCTGCTTTTAATACTGCCCTTCTTAGATGCACGCACAGCCAGGGCCTTGCTGGGATTCTTAGTCCCAGCTCAGGAGAGATTTTCCTTGGTACAATTCCTTTATTTCAAGTTTCCGTGCTTGATTGTTTTTTATGCACTTTGTTAGTATCAACAGGCTCCTAGAAGTCCTGCCAAATATTTGTAGCCCATTTTTAAAAAAGAGCCATAGAGCTCAGTGAGAAAATGAAAATAAGCCTCAATGTTGTCAGATCTAAAACGAAGGCACTGATGTATTTCAGGGCATTTAGATGGTACAAATTCATTTTTTTTGGAGCAGAAAAGCAATGAAGAATATTGACCACATCCAAAATTTGCTAGAAAAATTAATGCAAGGATAAGGTCATTAGGGATGAGAAACACACTTACCTTGTAACCCATTAACATGTCCTGAGCTGTTAACAGATGTTTTTTCAGGGAAACAACTTCTGGGTTAACTCATTTTAATTCTCCCAAATCAGCGCTAGCAGCACAATAACAAGTGTTTGTAATCTGCCTCCTTCTGCTCCTCACCAGGACCCGTTCCAGAAGAGCAAAGAAACCCTAACTTCTCTTTGGTGAAGGTTTGGAATATGAACAACCCCACCTTGCTTTGTATGTAAGAGGTGAGAAGCGTTAGAAGATGAAAAGGATTATCTTAACTTATGATCTGGTGAATAGGTTGGTCCACTCAGTTCAGCCTTTCAGCACAGGAGTACCAAAGGCATCCTCAGAATAAAATGTAAATAATTATGGTGATGGTTTCCAGTTTGGCACACATTCATACTACATCCCGGTAATAACAAAATAACAATCCTACATAACAGTTTACATGCCTTTACATACATCTCACTGTAAGCTCTCAGCAGCACCATACAGCCAAAATGGGTCCAGAAGCATCTCACTGGAGAAGCAACCGGCCAGAACCCCTGCCCAGCGCAGCACAGAGAACACAAAGAGTGGGAATGGGCCTGTGTGGTACTTCGGAGCTGGCAGCTTCATACAGCCAACCTGGATCTGTGGAAGCCCTGCAGGTGGCTATGACTCGTGCACAGCCCTGACACCTGACTGACTCTCCACAGACCCAACTCAAGACTAGGCAGTTTTGCTTCTCCACCAAAGATGGCAAGGGCAGCTCCCCATCTTTGCTCTTGGCTGTCCTTCCCAGCAACTTCAGCCAGCCTTCCCATGGCATGTTCCTGACCACTGTAACCTCTTAGGTCTTCATTTTACATCACAGGAACTAGGAAAGAACAAGCAGCAGTGCTAGTGGTGGTTTTTCCCCCATCCTTCCCCTTATCTCCTGAGACAAGCTGCTCCTCCTGGGAGTTTCCTCCACAGAACCCTTTGCATCTCTTGAACCAGGATCCTCATAGCTCCTTCCAGCTCACACCAGCCCCCAATATTAGCTCAGCACATGAACTGATTATCACCCCATATTCCAATATTAAAAGTTGCCTTCTCTCATTGCCAAAGAGCATAAGAAAAGCAAATGCGTTTCTCTCAAGGAGAGGTATAATATTTTCCTCAAAAAAATCAGCTCATTTGCAGGGGCATCCCCTTAGGATTGGAAGTACATGCTCTGTTTTACCTCTAGTTTGAGACAGTAGAAGATGATTAGCAGAGTGCAGAGTCTTCTAAAATGATCAACCTAACAGAGAACTAGTTTCTAAGGGAAGATACTTTCAATCAACAAAATAAGGCTCTTTGTGAGCAGATGAAGTTTTAAAACGAAAGTAGATGGTGATTTTTTCATTACAGCTGGATTAACATGAGCATTTTTATGTATGTGAAACAGCTGCTCATGCACACAGAGGCTGGAAATGTATGGCTTGCCCAGGAATGCAGGCAGAAGTTTCTATACCCACTCTGCGGCTTTGTCACACACACTTTATGGAATCACTTTTGCTTTTACTCACTCAGTCACATGTTCCAATCAGGCAAAGGACTGATATAAACACTACTACAAATGGTATGCAAAATGTTAACCAAATGATTAAAATCCAAAGAGGAAGGGAAAGTAGAGAAAGCAGAAAAACTTTAATAGCTTTAGTAAAAGCAGGAACTTGTGCTGGGAGAAAAAAATTGATGCTTAGAGGAAAAAGACCACTTGATGCTAAGTTCCCTTTATGTTA